AGCACAGCAAAGCAGAAAGCAGCAGCAGTGGCACCAGTGGCAGCAGCCGCATGTCTGTACCTTTCGTCCACCCCCATCTCCTCAAGTTCAGCTCAAGATTGGCGAAAGTTCACCCTGCCACATCTGACCCCCAGCTCATTATGAGTACGTCTGAGTGACCGGCTACTACAGTGATTCTTGCAATTTTGATTCTTTCTGACACCCAGGAGAAACAAAAGAGACGTACCGGGTGTCAACAGTTAAGTAGAAGACACATGCTGACAAACAGTGAAGTTTTTATCATGTATTTGCCAGTAAAGAAGAAGCCATTGACGTAAAAAAATTGGTATCCATCATACAACATACATGGCACACATAAATACAACATACTTCGGCGAAAGATAAAACGCAGGAAGGCGAAAGTTTGGCTAAAGATCCCCCAGTGCATTTCCACTACAGAATGGGAGTGCTCGAGCCCCTATATAAATCAGTTTTTTATATAAAAATCGTGTCCCATGATGACCTCGTGTGCTTGCATGTTGTAGTGATTTAAGTGTTTCGCTCAGAGACATTGAACAAATGTCACCAGCCACCATCATTTTGTAGTGACAATTTTTGGCATGAACATGATGACATCATTTGCTTGGGCGGACATTTTATAGTGGAGCCTTGTTTGGATCCAAGTCATACCAAATCCATTTTGTAGTGGAAGCCATTTCAAGTGTGTTGCAAAGAGCAAGGTTGCACGCTGTCATTTTGTAGAGGTGCCTTTTTGAACGATAGTCATTTTGTAGTGGACGCACTTTTTGGTGAACAATGGTTGCATCCGGCAAAGATCCTTTTGGATCAGCTGACCCTATATTTTCATGATCCAAGACGAGTGCACTACAAAATGTTTTTCAGTGTTTTGTATTTTTATTTGTTGAGAGGTTGAGGGTTGGGCCAGGCATTCTCTAGAGCAATTTCAGCTTGACTTGAAACAGACTCCCCATTTCTATCATCACTAGAGATATCTTCATTTTATAGATACCTTTTTGTTCCAGGTCCTAGCATTTTGTAACACCAAACTCCGCGTCCCCACTTTTATAGCTATAGAATGGGGTGTCCAAGGTCACCCCGTTATGTACAGGGGGATGGCTAAAGTAATTTTTTGGCTAAGATGACGGGTCCCGGATAAAGGAATTTAGATCAACACCCATGTATTACTAATGACTGTATCAGCTTTCGTATTGATGTTGAAAGTGGTGAAGTGGGGGGAGTGATTTGCATGTGCAAAAAGAATCACACACAAATATATATATATATATATACATATTACACATAGTGTTGCCTAGCAAGGGTGCAAACCTGCAATGGCTAGAGCCGGTATGAAATTGCCACACGACCTTGACAATGCAGACAGCTGCAGGGTAAACGCTATCAATCCTTTAGACATGCACAAGTCTTGGCATGTGCAGTTTTCAAGGTGTTATAAATGGCCCTCAGACTGTTTGCCGAAAGAGTTTTTCTCCCAGCAAATTTGCTGGGACAGATCATTGCCATGCCAGCTTTACGTTTTCATTTGATTTTGCCAGTCTTATCGGAATGTTCTATGACCAACACTTCACGCACGCAATTGGGCATTCGGCCGGAGAAATCGCTTGGCGTGACAGTCCCTCAACGCTTTGATGTCATGAAACTCTAAGCAGTTTCATGAGGCTCTGAGAAAAAACATGTCGCGGAAAAAACAAGCTGTTCCTCTTGAAGCTGCAAGTCACACGCTGTGGAATCTCTGGATGCTTCGTCGCAGTTGCACTGACATTGGCACTTGCAAGGCTGTCAGGCTGTGAGAAAGGGGAGCAATTCAATGGTCAATCCACTCATTAGGAAGTCTTGACTGAGCCAAGGTCTCGTGAACCATCACCATCCAAGCGCTGGGGACTTCTGATGTTCGTACCACGTGTTGCACTCATTCAAGCGCTTTGCGAAAGCTGCTGGCCCATTAATTGGCAGTTGGCACCACAGCATGTGAGCGGACAACGTCGCCAGGCCACTGAAGAAGAGGCGGAAGGATGAAAAACTGCCATATGAATTAGCTAGGGGCCAAGCCTGCTAATCAACAAATGTTTAAAATGTCAAGACCGTTGCTTTGGGGGGGCCTGCTCGGTGACAAAAGGGCACAAATTGGCATGTCACAACAAGCTTAGGTGTTACTGCTTAGAGTGCTTCTTCATGGCAACGTGCTGTTCTTGAATGAGGTGCGTGGTTTTTCTTTAGGTCAGGCCAGCAACATCTATATCCTCAACTTTCGGCAAATTGTGTGCCATGGGCATAAGTCAGAGGTCTACTTTGAGATGAGATTTAACAAATGTTGACAAATGCTCCAGGGACTTCTTGACGCTTTAGTTCTTGCAGGATGGCTGATTCCACGATGTGCAGCCATTTGCAGCTTGTCATCGCAGTGCCAGCACCAACCAGAGAAAGAACTTTGATGCACTGACAAGCATTCACGGTCATGAATGAGGCCGTGCCAGTTTTGGAAGAAGAAAGGTCCTCAAATTGTTGTTGCAGGACATTCCCTTTTTCGAGCAGCTCTTTTTGCTCCCTCAAGCTCAGGTCCGATGGTTTGATGGTTCGATTAATTGTCGAAAGTGCTGGTCAACAAACTGTTCAACAAAGACGACATCTAAGGAAGATACTCTGACATTGTCGTCATGGGAGCATTTTGTACTTTCATGAATGTCCACAGACTGCTGAAGAGCACATCGCCATTCATGGAACAATCTTTTTGACTTGCGGTGTCGGAGGCCCGAACAATTGAGGCTGAAGCTGAAGCCAGGGATGCTGTGCAATGTCCTTGGATACCCAGGACCGACACAACCCGAGAATATGTTATGCATGCACCTACACAAGGTTGCAACTTTTTCGTGATCTTTGCCGGAAGCATGCTGCAGCAATGGCCTCAAGCATGTTTTCAATTTCAGCTTTTGCAGTGTTGGCTGAGCGCTTAGCGGCACTTTTTTGTGAGGTGTATGATTTGTGCCCACTGCTGCGACCAGTACGCAGAGAAGTGCCAGAAGGTGGTGCTCACTCGCCCTTCACTTGGGGGTTTGCCTTGACTTTGTTCACGGTTGTTTGCGACAAGTTGTGGTGGTGTGACTGCAGCTCATGTTGCAACACAAATCAGGCCAAGCAATGCTGCCTGAAACTTACATGATCCTACTGTGACTGGGCAGTTGGCACCATGCACGCTAGCAGACTTGGATTGTTTTGCAACGTTTTGTACATGACTGCGTTGAGCTTTTGCATGCTTTTGCTATTCGTTTAACATTGTTGAATATTAGATGTCAGAACAAAGGTGTACTGTATTGTGCGTGGTGCATACTGGTGTGGAGAAAAGTCACCAAACCGTGCCGTTGCATCGAATCTTCTGGTTAGAGGAAGTCATATTTTTGTAAGTGCCCTACTTGAGCTGACCATTTAAGCGCTCCTTTTGTGTGTTCAAGCATCATCCTCGGCTCAGTTGGAAGACACTAAGAGTTATGAAACAAGTCACGAAAGCGCTAGCATTGGCTAGCTGGAGATTTGCAAATTTTGAATCGCTCGACTTGCTAGGCTATCCGACTTTCACAGGTTTACATATACGTATTATACATGTAGGAGCAAGGACGCTACTAGGAGCAAAGGGCATCGCTACTAGTAACAAGTGCCTTACTAGTAGTAACAAGAAGCTAGTAGAAACAAGAAGCTAAATTAGAATTTAATTAGAATGTGGTGTAATTATAAACAAATTACAATTAGTATACATGTATGTATACATAGACCACTTGGGATGTCATTTGGTTTTGTTCAGCTCATCGCACATCAATGATGATTATGTCGGTTATGTCAACTTATCCTCGCTTTGCGCTCATGTTCAACTCGTTCATTGTTCATCATTGTTCAGCATGGTAGCTCATATTGCATTCATGCATTTTGCCCTATTGACCTCCAATTACCTCATCAAGTACAGGTGCTCATGATCAAACTTTGTTTTCCCTTGGTCTCTTAGACATCCCATTTCATTTTGACCTGTTAGCATGGTTCATAAATCTTTTGATCCGACATGACACATGCATAGAACTCCTCTTTGGCCCCCATACATACGCACACGGTCTCCATGGCCTCCACCACACTGTCAAAGCTTTCCTCGCACGGCCTCCACGGCTTCAATACTCCTCGCCAACAAACACGAAACCGCAAGTTTTGAGAAGAAGAAAAAGAGATTCACCACTCGCCACCAAAGTCTTCCAGAGCCTCCCTCACAGCCTCCAGACATGACATCCATGCTCCATGTATCAAACGTGGCAGGCGCCCGCTTTTTTCTTTGCTTCACACTTCTCCTCATCTTCTCCGTCCAACCCCCTCTCCTCCAAACCTGAGAAGACCCAACACACAAAACAGGGGAGTGTGATCACTTGACTGCATGGTTCAGGATTTGCAGTCGCCAATGCCTTCACTGATGTGCACACTCCCTTCACCTTTGTGGCAGTGAAGTGCTCGTGCAGTGTTTGGCAGGCTGGAACTGTCCCAACACCCATACGCCGGATGCAGCCGGTGTCCTTGGGGAGGTTCATCGTACGCCTGAGACACCAAAGCTCAGGGTGCTCACTGCCTTGGTGGGGGGTTGCTGGCTCCAATTTCCCGCTCCTCCAAACAGCGAGTCCATGAACTCCATTCCATGTCGCTATGACCAGGCGTGCGCTTCAGGCTTGGGAAATCCGCACCCGGCAGCTCACCCACATCCTCCCAAACAGATCCAAACAGGGGTTTGACCACTTGGGCGCCGCCTACTTCAAGAGATATCAGATGCTAGGCAGCTAGATGCCCAGCTACCAACGATATCATACAGACCTGTAGTTGGGATGGCGCGTTCAGCTAGGCATGTAAGCTTCCTCCGACTGACATAGATACCATATGATACATTGACTGCGGTCTGAGTCCAGTGAGTCCTCAGTGGATGCTACTGCGCTTCTTGCATGTAGACCTGTCCGGTACTTGGCGGATGCCTGCACGGTCCTCGACAGTCCTCTTCCGTGGAACCCCTGCTTTGGCAGATGCTCTACTACTCTTCAGTTACCAAAGTTTAGTAGTTTTCCCGCGTCAGTTCTGTGTTGTCCCCATGGTCCTGGTCCTGGGCTCTTGGGGTAGTGGAAGTAGGGCGTTTGTGAAACGGTTCAGTGACGAGACATGCCGCTAGAGGGGGAGAGAGTGAGAGTTGCAGAGGTTCCACTTTAAAGCCGGGAGAGGCGACATTAATATGCGGATTGCAACATGAAAGAACCATAATTGTCAAGCAATGCGGGGCGCTTGTGTGCTTGATCTCAACCTTCATGCATGCACAAAAGTGCAAGTCTTGTCCACCTTATGCGCCTGATTCCGACCACAAGTCTAAGGTGCTGGCCAAAGGCCCTTCAATGCCGCAGGCTGTGCGTTTAGTGGCCAGACCCTTTGCTTCTGAGAAACGCAGGCAACCGGTATTCGGTATCATGCTGTTTCGCTTCATTCTTCAACCTGGCAATGCTTTGAAATGGCTGTGAATCTTGCTGTGGCTCAGGATGCCGGCAACACCCTGGTGGAGCTGCGCTCAAATTTGCTGCAAACTCGGTCTTCTTGGAGAAAGCTCACCCAGTGCCGATCATGTCGCGCTCAGGACTGAACCATTCATCCGTGCAGTAGCTGCTCGGCATGCGCAAAGAGAAGATGCTGAGGCAGGTAGACACACACGCACACAGGGGTTACTGTTTGATGATTGTTTTGCTTGTTGTGCAGTTTTGCAGGAGGAGGAGCTTGGACAAGCTGGGAAACCAAGGAGCAGCAACAATACACATGGGCATGCGGCATGCATTTCTCGTCTCTCAAGGCATGTTGTGCAAAAAATTGCTTCTGCAAGCTTGAGTTTACTCAATCAGGTCCTAGTTCTCCTGATTTGGGCCCTTGTGAAGATAATTTTTGAGATGAGTTTGAAGTCAAAGGTCGTTTTGGCCTTCGTAACTGAAGGCCCTGGGTCAACAACAAGTGCGGCGTTATCACCTAAGCACCGTCTACCGGGAGGCCTGGCTGTCGGATTGCTACAAGAAAGACTGTTTGAATTGATAATGACTTGACACTTGTTGTTGTCGATGCTGGTGATGCCTAAGACGAAGACAACATTTAAAGATATGGGGGCTCAGCATTTGAAAACCAATCCCAGCTTTGTTGACAGCTTTGTCCTCATAACCGAAGATCCTACTTGCGCAAAGTCAAGAGCCCAACTGCATCAAATCATTGGTTGCTATTTCCCTTTATGCCTCAAGACTTGAGAAGGTGCACACCTGCTACCATCTGCAAACCCTACCACCAGCGCAAAAAATTGTCGGGGAGTTGGAGCGGACAAGCAATGGTGTTGTGGGGAAAACCGTGCCTCAGAGCAGGAAGTTGCGGTGGGTCTTCTATCTTGACAGTAGAAAGCAAGTTGAGAGTAGGACCTGATCTTGTTTGTAGTATAACATGTGGCTTCCGCCTGCTGCTGAACCCTTGGACCCTCGGCTTCGGTTTCATTTCATTTCCATTTTTCAGGTGGTCCAGTATCAGAGGATCTGATTTGTTCCTTTCTCTTGAACCTCAGCAGAAGTCAGTCCCGCGAGAGAAATCGTGAGGCGCCAAGCTCAGAAGTCTATGCGCAGTCTCAGTCCTTGACCCCAGTGGTGAGAATTGCTATGCTTGGCACATCAATTAGACGACATCACCTATGCTTGGCCGTGTGGTCTCACAGGTTTGGACATCCTCGGGAAGTCTCCTCCGCCGTGGTGCAATTCTTTTGGTCGGCCACCAATGTCGAATGCGCCCGAATGGGATCGAGGATGCTAGCCAAACTTCAGGCACCCCCCACCATTGGTGAGCAGCCTCCAGGAGCTTTATGACTCTATGAGACTCTATGACATTGTCGGCTGCACTGCTTGGTTGAAGGACATGCCCGAATCGCCCAGCCAGCCCAGCCTGAAGCTTGGTGATCTTGTGTGAACACTGAACGTTCCCTTTGGAAAAGTCACACTGCATTGCATGCCCACTTTGTCATACTATGTGGGGTTCAAGGTGGGACGCGTTTATTTGGATACTCTGAATTTTGGGGGGCTGTGCTTTTTGAAGCGCGCTGCCACAAAGAATGAAGCATGCAAGCCAGTGCACGCCGCGGTTGCAGACTAGATCGCACAATATGATCCTTGAGATCCAAGTCCAAGTCCAATCTTTTCAGGGTGTGTCGTGGCTCTTCTTGGAGCTGCTCAGCCAATCCTTGACTGCTTGAGCAGATGGAGTCCCGAGAAGGTTGCCCAATGTGAATCGAAGCCAATTGGCATTTGGCAAATACAGAGGAGCGCGACCAGCAAAACTGTATACACTGCGCAAATTCATTGAACCAACAATTTGTTTCTCTACTTGTTTGTCACAAAGCAGAACAGGGTGTCAGGATGGAGCAGGAGCAGCTGTGAGGGTGCAGATAAGAAAACGTCTCTCAATATAACTCTGCCTTTCTGTCGCACCAGGAACACCTTGCCATACCGCTCCAATTTGGAGTGTGCAGTCCTGGAAGATGTTTCTTTGTGCATTTGCAAAGGTGTTCTTGCTTTGGGTTGCTTGGTTGCAAGCCTGATTGTGCTAAATGTTTTAGAGTCCAACCAAAGTCTGTGCCAATAGCAGCTAGAGGTTTCGACGCTGGGAGAGGCCAAGGCTCCTGTTCCACCAACAGCTTCCTGGCCTGAGATTAGGCGTGCTGTAGGCTGTGTTCCTGTGCGCAGTTTCTCGAATGGAAAGCGACGGAAACGTACGGCGGCCCCAAGGTAGAGCCAGGAAAGGGCTTTGAAAGTTTATGCTCTGGAATGCCAATCATTCGATACACTTTGGACCGTGTCCCGAGCTGTGCAACAAACTCGCCTGTTTACAGAGGAGCCAAGGACTTTGGGGGTGGCACATCTGACACACCTGGGCATGGTGCGTGGATGCAGGCACTCCCACAGTGTTGGTTTGATGGTTCAACGTTTCCAGCCTGGAATTCACATGATCCTGAGGAGGTGGGTCATTCAAAGCCCGTAGAGGTGCTTACGGGCCTTCCTGACTGGCAGACCTTCTACCAGGACTATGTGCGTGCAAACCGATTCCCAGCAGCAAAGAGTTCTTAACCCCCGCGTCAATGGCTTTGCGGTTGAAGATCTGAGGACCTGTCGTCCTAAAGAATGCTGCGCAGACTCAGCATCTTGTCCGATGTGGTTTTGTGAGCACACGTGCAACGGTTTCACATTGAGGAAAGCCTTTTCAAAATGGACTGATGAGTACCTCCTGGACCTTTGGCGCAAGCGAAGAGTTGACGTTGAGATCAAGAAGGTCCTGGTGAAACGTCAAGAAATCTAGACTGTTTCAGTGAGAACATATTTGGTGAGAGCGCAGGTTGAAGAGCGCGGAGGCCCTACTGTGCAATGGCCCTTTGAAAAATTCCTCCGCGAAATGTACAAGGCCGGATGTCCAACTTATTAGGTCCTGCTGAATTCTGCAGCCTTCCAGGTAGAGAGGAAGGATGAGCTTTATGCAACTCTCGCAGCAATGAACGGTCACCACCTACCCAAGATGGCAGGCTATATACCTTGAGCCCCACGCTCGTGTCTTTCGAACATGCATATCCCAGTGGACGTGGATGACTGGAAAGTGCCAAAGCCATTTGATGGAGTTACAGCCACTTACTACACTGTACGTTTGGCAGGTAAGCTCCAGGAAAGCCAGAGGGCGGAAGTTTCAATGAAGGTATAAAGTATAAAGGTATGTAAACATATGTAAACTATAAGTCTATAAGTGACTATAAGAGTGTTGTATTGTGTTGTTTTGCGGCCGGTGATGTAGTGGTCTTGCAATGAAGATGCGCGACATCCAGTGACGTGCTGACTTGTCACATGGCGAAATAGAACTCGGTGATTTTTGGTGTGATGAAATGTGAAGGGAGTTCTGATGGCTTGCCGCATGATGTGGTGTGGTGAAGTGACGGTTTGCGATTGTGATGTTGGGAAGTGTACTCTGGCAATTTGTGATGCAGTGAGGTACGCCGTGGTACAACTGCGCTTCCACCCCCTGTCCGCTCCCGCCCTCTTCTCATTGATGTGGTAGGAGTGATTTCATGTTTCGCCGCTCCTCAAGCATACAGTGGATGGACTTAGCTTCGGCTCTGAGGTTTGCTCACCTAGGCTTGACAAGCAACCTCTTCGGCCTCGCTTGCCCCTTTGGATTTGGAGCGGTCTTGGCCTCCTTCCTTCTTGGCCTCCTCTTTAGCATCTCCTGCAGCCTCGTCGGTGCTTACTTCCTCTTGCCACACTTTCGCCTCAACGGTCTGGAATCTGCACCTTCGCCTTGCTCCCGAGAGGGCACCTCATCCAGGCTGGCCAAGTATTTGCATGAGAAGCGGCCGTGAGGATCCAGAGGTGGTCGAACTCGACATTCAGTTTGCAGGCCTTGCTGTTACCGTGCGAGGCCCTCCTACTACTGCTGCCAGCTTCGTCCAGCAGGTCGCCTCCGGCAACCACGGCCCTACATCGAGTGCCCCTTCAACGCTTGCTCCTACCTCTTCGGTGGCCACAGAGATCCAGCGTGCATTTTCCTCCGAAGGAGCAACTCGGATTCTCCAGGGCAAGACCTACCTCCGTCTACACGGGGGAGACTCGCTCCTCTGCTGAGGCTTCTTTTGACAATTGCCCTGCTACTTGGATTGGTGCTGCAAGTTCTCGCCTCTCCGGATCGAAGCTCTCAGCCACAGATCGAGCAAGGCGGGCTTGGAAAGCAGGTCAGTGGGCTAGAGCGGTGCAGCAGGGACGAGTCTCCTCTCCTTTTCGCACCGAGGCCATTGATTTGCCAAACAGGGTGTGGTGCGTTGTCCGGGGACCACAGGGTGGTGATCCTCAGATCTTTCATAGCTCCCGAGAGTTCTTCGCCTTTGTGCTCACAGCCATACCATTTGTCACGCCCGGCCATCCAAGACGGAGGCTCGCATCTACTTTGAGGGCGCTGGAGTGGCCTATCCGGCTCAGTAGAGGGTCGAATGGGTGCTTCGGGAACTCAGAGTCGCAGGAGGAATCCTGGCTCTGCTTCCACACCCAAGAAGTTGGCATCCTTCCTGGACGATATGCCAGCTCCGCGAAATTCATTGACCCGTACTCCTACAAAGCACAAGCCTCTACGGAACCTATGAGCAGTGCCATGGCGGGCGAGGTACTGAAGGAGAAGGTGGACAGTGGAGGAGGCATGAGCATCAAGGGTGCCCAGGGGAGAGTCCGTCTTCAGCAGGAGTTAGCTCTTCACAGAGGAACCTTCTTCAACGCGGTCACCAGCGGCTATGCAAGTGCAGAGATCTGGGACAAATCATGTGGCAAGTGGCCCTTATCCTCGATCACCTCCAGAACGACAGCATAGGTGCAGCTCGGGATGGGACAGCTCTATTGGCAGTTTGCCTGGAGCTGTCCGCTCTGATGGACATTGGCCTTCTACTAGCCCTGCAGGAGGGTGTTCACCAATCGCAACTTGGCGGGCTATGCAAGAGGAAAGGCTACATCAAAGAGCTGGTGGACCTCATTGTGAGCAAGAGAAACGATATCTCCCAAGCCGGCGAAGGAGGATCAACCCCAAAAAGCACCCAAAAAGAAATTGGAGAAAGAAGAGCGACGCACAAGAGGAGGGGGAACAATGAAGTCCTTTCCTGCTCTCACAGTTCCCGCGCCTGAGCTCTTATCTACTCCTGCAGCCAAGTTGGTCGACAACACATCCACAGTTTCACGGGTCATGGATAGAAGGGAGGAAGCCCTCTCCCATCAGCGCCCTCTATCAAGGCCAGTCGCTGCATTCGACAGAGCAATCCAGGCCTACCAGAAGGAGAAGGTGCTGGGATCACCTGAGAAGGATATCAGAGGCCCGACTCACTTCAAAGTTGTTGGGGCGGAGGTCCAGCAAGATCTAGAGGCATAGTCGCGGTTGGCGCGCCTGCTGAGAAGAGGCTAGCCTTGTCAGCGCTATCCCTACGGATCGCTTCAATGAGGATTATCTCTTCCTCGCTGGCAGCGCAGTTGGCTGGGAACTGGACCTCCGTAATGATGTTCCGGAGATGCCTGACATGCCTCTTCTCCAAGATCTACGCCTTCGGGGCCTCTAAACAGAAGACAGAGAAGGCGGATGTATTTGAGCTTTCTCGGTCAGCGGCTGATGAGCTGGCGCTCGCCTCAATTTTTGGTTGGGTCGCAGCATCAAATGTCACCGTGCCCTACCACCAAAAGATCTTTGCCACTGATGCGTCCCTGCACAAAGGAGCGGTTGCGTCTCGTCAACTACCTGAAGGTCTAGATGAGATCATGTGCCTTGGAGGAGACAAGAAAGGTGACCCTATACTGTTCTAGACCCACTGCCCAGAGAGATCTTGCGCATTGTTGGTGATGATGAACATGAACTCAGAGACCCTATGACTGAACCTCCTCCAAGGGCTCTTGGTTTCTTCTTCGACTTCATCGAAATATGTGGGGGCTCAGCTGGCGTTTCTCGCAGCTTAGCCGATCTGGGCTATACTGTTGCGCCTCCAATAGAGCTGTCTGATTCCAAGCACTTTGACATCACCAGCCTTGACCTTTTGGACTGGGTGATCTATATGATCAGGCAGAGGAGGATCAAGTCGGCCATGATTGAACCAGTTTGCGCAACTTTCTCGCCGGTGGCTCGCCCCTCTGTCAGATCTTACAAGCGCCCTCGGTTACAATAGACTTTGTCCCAAGACATTGCGAGGGGATGTGATTGCTTCAGGTGCCTCATCATCGCCTCGGTTTGTGCGCTACATCAAGCTCCGGCTCTAGTTGAGCAGCCTACAGTAGGCTCTCAAAGATGGCCTGGCTTAGCGCATGGTGTTTCCTCAAGAATGTCAAGGGCTTTGAGGAGGCGATTACAGTTTGGTTCTCGGCCCACTGGCCGTCCTTTCCCAAGGACCTTCGTGGACTTTGTGGATTTTTGGACTTCAGTGGATTTTTGGACTTTTGCTGTCCCTCCGTGCCCTTGTGGTTGTCCTCTGGATTTTGAGGAGCTTATTGCCCGCCTCTCCTTTCTACTACTTGGCTTCCTGCAGATGCTCCTCCCTCTCTTTTGTTTACTTGTCCTTAGGGCACTCCCAGGGTTTTGAAGCAAGGTCCTTTTTCACCCACCGGCGCCAGAGCCCGTTTTTGCCATGGAGCTTTAGCCATGCCACTGGAGCCTCTTGGTTCGGAAGAGACTGAGAAGGCTAGGCGAAGGGTGGAGACGACCTTGCTGGCTGACAGGGTTTTGAGGCCCCAGACACGGACGAGGTGTGAGCAGCTACTTGACCAATTGCTTGTTGAGAACATGCACCTCACCCTGGAGCAGTTGTTGGGGAAGCGCGAAGCTGATGCGGAATTGGTGTCAAAAGCTCTGGTCACGTATGGAAAGCAGCTTCTTTACTCAGGAAAGTCGCATGGTCGCTACAGCGAGACCATCAACGCTGTTGCGGCCAAGCGGCCCACACTCAAGAGATTGCTAGCTGGTGCCTGGGACTTAGCCTTCGCCTGGGTCACTGATGAACCTCATGCCCACCATCCAGCGACGCCGCTCTCTGTAGTTTTGGCCTTTGGCGGTCTTGCATTGCTATTGGGGTTGGCCGGTGGAAGCTTCCCTGATATTGATGACCTGGACAGGCATCTTGAGGGTAGGAGAGGTCCTTGCAAGGGGCGCTCCAAAAGAAAGATGGAGCACCTGGCACGATCTGCGCTCTTGCAGATCAGACAACCCAAAACTTGAGGCTCCGCGACGCGCCACCAGTCCGCGCCATCGACCCTTTAGATGTGGTCGAACTTGTGACGGCCACCTTCGGTAGCATGCCCAAGGAAAGCAAGCTATGGCAAGATTTCAGATGCTGCAGAAGGCCCTCGGCCTACAGGTTGTGAAGATTGGAGGCCAGGTCCCTTATGATCTAGCCTCTTTGCGCCCTGGTGGCACGACATTTTTGTTGCAGCGCCTCGAGGATGCTGAAATGGTGAGACGGAGGGGAAGGTGGCCCTCGAGTAGAGTCATGGAGATTTACCTGCAGGAGGTATGTGTGGCCACCTTCGCTGAGAGGATGCCGCGAGTCGGCAGATGCCTTTGGAAGCATCTTGCAGAAAGCTTGGTTTTTCAGCTCCTCCTCGGTTGTTTAAGACAGCTTGAGAGTGGAAGAGTCGGAAGTGACGGCGCGTACAGGCCAGTGGAAATGATCCCTGGCGAGAGAGCAAGCCCTCTTGAAGGTGGAAAATGGATGAGCTCCCGATTACTGGGCCATCTTCTGGTGTGTGATTCTGTGTGATTGTGTCTGCATGCGGGATCATGTGGAAACATGGTGCCATCTACTGAGTCTTTGCTGCATGTGGATCATGTGGAATCGTGACCAGCAGTGATGGGCACAGTAGATGGCGCAGGGGAAGGGGAGCCGATGAAGAA